GTGTTTATCAGCTGTAAGAGTTCCTTGAGAAAATTTTTGGGGTCACATATGTATACTATCATGTCATCTGCAAGTACTGAAAGTTCGACTTCTTCCTTTACAATTTATATCCCCTTGATCTCCTTTTGTTGTCTTATTGCTCTAGCTAGAACGAGTAGTATATTGAATAAATATGGGGAGAATTGTCAGCCTTGTTTTATTCCTAATTTTGGTGGATTTGATTTGAGTTTCTCTCTGATTACTTTGATGTTGGCTGTTGGCTTACTGTAAATTGCCTTTATTATGTTTAGTTATGTTCCCTGCATTCCTGATCTCTCCAAGACCTTTATCATGAAGGGGTGATGGATTTTGTCAAAGGCCTTTTCAGCATATAATGAAATGATGACGTGTTTTTTTTCTTTCAGTTTGCATATATGGTATATTATATGGACAGACTTTCATATGTTGAACCATCCTTGTATCTCTGAGATGAAGCCTACTTGATTAACATGGATGATTGTGTGATACGTTCTTGAATTCAGTTTGCTGTGTCCCAGGGATGGTGTCAAGGGGCAGGACTCTTTGGGTATGGAGCCTCAATATTCTTTCAGTTAACTCCTGGCCACAGGAACCAGAGAGGTGAATATTTATATTGACCACTATTAGGACAATGAGAAAAAGATGTGATCATTAAAAATAACTGTAATTTTAATGTAAAAAATGCTATGTGACTTTCTCCCATCTTCAGAGCCTTCCAAGGACTGCCAGAGTAGATATGATTTAGGCTGCAGCTTAAAGCACACTCTCTCCCCACCTGCCAGGACTTGAAGGAACACACAAGGCCAGCCTAGAAACATAGTATTTACAGGAGTACTAGGAGAGAATATCCTGCTTATTGCCTCACCTCTCCTAATCTACCTTCTCACATGAAGTATACTCCCCAAAGGAACAAACAGATGTCAGACACAATCAGAGAGTTCTTGTCCACTTGCTCGGTGAGGATGAATTTATGGTGATGCTTCTCTTTTCTGTTCATGACAGGTGAACATCGACCTTCATTAAGGGGTATTATTGGCATTGTTGCCCAATGTCTGATGGGGCTGATTGCAGTAATATTTGTACTGGTTATCCTATCCTGTGGCACAGCCGTCGTGGCAGGTGAAGTGTCTTACACCCTTCCATTCCCTCCATGTTTGGGAAAGGGAAAAGGCTTCCTTCACTTTGTGTCTGGACTCCATCTTCTTCTCTTTGCTATGTGTGTGCTGTGTTGCTCATATCACTGCCTTCCTATGTCCTGTACCCCATTGTCTGTTGCTTATGGTCACTCCTTTCCCTGTGAAGTTTGGAGATAAATTGACTTCATCTTTCACCAGGGAGCCACAAATTGAGAACAACGTTAAACAGATGGACAATGAGCCAATCAACCTCAATGAGCCAACCAACCTCAATGAGCCAACCAACCTCAATGAGCCAACCAACCTCAATGAAACCTCAAAAGCAGCCTCAAATGTGAAACCTCAAAAGAAAAAGAAGGCAAAAGTAAATTCTCAATCAAAGTACCATCCCAGAACCAGTTAGAAAACAGCTAATATGATGGGGTAAAAGGATCAAAGGCTAAGAGGGGCTGGTTAGATTGGAAAAGGAGGCAGCACCAAGAAAGGCAGTGGCAGCCATGGTGTGAATGCACAGCAAGGACACCAAGCAGCTCCCAGGAAACATTGGCTGCCAGGGTCCTTCCCAACTGAGGAACCAAACAACAGTGACAGTGTCTCCCATTTC